GGCGACCTCCCTCCCTCCCCCCTTCGTGCTTCACCTAGGGCCCTGCTCCCTCCCCCTTCACCCCACCCCCTTGAGCGCACACCTCCCCACACGTACACACGGGCGCGCGGGCACCCGCGCACACACTCGCACGCACAGCCCCGAGTGAGTGTGAGCGAAGCTGAGATGCGCTCTCACGCCTTAAGGAGTTCACACTTGGCCCCAGCCAAACCCGTGAGCGCGCGGCCGGCGCCCCGGAGGGCCGTGCTTTCAGTGGAACTTCCTTCCCAACTGCTGGAAAACTGGGGCTCTGCACCGAGAAAAACGCTGGGATGTTGCACCCAAGAAGCAGCAGCAGGGATTCTTCACACTGTTGTGTATTCTGCCTAGTTCCCTGTTCTCTGTCTAGAGCGACAGGATCTTTGAAAACCACAAGTAATCCAAAAAAGCACTTGTCGCCTCCTCCTCCAACTAGAATACTTAGAAGCACTAACAAATAACTAATCCGAGATTTACCCCTTTTCCGGTCGTCGGTGTTCTCTCGGGAAATTGTTTTTTGTGGGAGTGTTTTTTGGTTTTTGTTTGTTTGTTTCTTAACCCTTTTAAGTGGGTAGCCTGGCCTAATTAATCAACTGGATCATTGTTAGGAATCAGGGAGATTAACATAACCATATTCATACCCAAAACTGTTTCCAAGACAACAATTATATTTGAGCCAGAACTTAATTGTGTGTTGCTCTATCTTTATTTTACAGGAAGTATTAGTCACCCAAACACTGGTGTGTTTTAATATTCTAAAGCCAATGAAAACATTTTTGGGAAACCAACCCTTTTTTTTTTTTTTTAATTTAGGAGGGAATTCAATTTCCACATTCATGTCAAAGAAAGAAACTGTGAAGTGTGTAGATTTTTTTTTTAAACTTGAAGTTGTTATTGAGTTGTTCTAAAATATTTTCCAAAGCAGATGAAAATGCTACAAGGTGACTAAGAATTCAGTACTGGCCAAGCAGTGGAATCCAAGGTACACCTGGGCAGCTTGAGTTGCATCACTAACAAATGCCCTAGCACTCATTAGTATGACCCGAGAATGAAGAATTCTTTGTTTTGTTTTGGTTTTCTTGTTCCAGGGTTTCTCTGTGTAGCCCTGGCTGTCCTGGAACTTGCTCTGTACACCAAGCTTGCCTTGAACTCACAGAGATCCGCCCGCCTCTGTCTCTGGAGTGCTGGGATTAAAGGCTGAAGAATTCTTATTTTGAAGATTAAATGGTACTCAAGTGGCCTGGAGAGATAGCTCAGTCAGTCGGAGCATGGAGACCCAACGTCAATCCTCAGTACGCACCTCAAAAGTAAAAGGCCAGCAGTGAAGCCCAGACAGGAGAACGGATGACCTACTGGGACTCTTGAAGACGCCCATTCTCATTGACATTTCTTTATCATGACTTCTTCCTGCTGGATGCTTCTGCCATTTCTGATCATAGGTACATGCTATCCCATCTCCTTCCTCCAGATAAATCCACACTTGCCTGAGTCCTGGGCCTGGCACCCCCTAGAATTGGTTCTGAGACCCACAGGGCCCCAACAGTATAAAAACAAGTCACGATGCAATGTTGTGGGATATTTGTACACGGTGTGAAGATGTGTTACTGTGATTGGTGTAATGTAGAGCTGAGTAGCCAATAGCTAGGCAGGAAGAGGTTGGGCGGGATTTCTAGGGACAGAGAGAACTCTGGGAAGAAAGGCAGAGTCACCAGCCAGACTCAGAGGAAGGAGAAAGGGCAGTACAGAGATGAGGTAAAGCTACATGGCAGAATGTAGATTAATATAAATGGGTTAATTTAAGTTATAAGAGCCATTTGGGAAAAAGCCTAAGCTAATGGCTGAGGCTTTATAATTAATATCAAGACTCCATGTCATTATATGAGGGCTAGGTATCCAAAGATAGTCCAACAAGAAAGCTTGCTACATTTGGTGCCGAATGACCATAGAACCTGAAAAAAAAGGTTCCAAACTCAGAGGAGATGGTGGCTTCCTAGCGACCCTGGTCTTGGGTGCTTGTGGCAGCATACAAGGACACAACTCCTTTAAGAGGCCCTGCTATGAGCAGCCGGCACTACTTTGTGGTGGGAGACTAGGTAGAAATGCCTGCTGTAGTGTGCACCCAAAAACTTCCCAGAGCTGGGGCTGATGGAGGATGCTCTAGGCTGGGGCCCACAGGCATGAGGCTCAACTCTCACCAACCAGCCACCAGTGACATAAGCAGAGCTGCACTGAGGCTGGTGTGGCCATTTAAGGTTTGGCTCACGGGATCAGAAAAACACTGAAGATGCACACAAAGTCAGGTCCAGACTGAGAAAACCTCTGAACCGATATAGTATGTATGCTATAGAGTAATCCTTCTGTCCACTTTGTAAATATATGTTGCTATGACTGGTTTCATAAACAAATGGACTGGCCAATAGTTGAACAGGATAAAGTTATGCAAGAGAGCCAAACTGAGAATGATGGGATGAGGAAGGGTGGAGTCAGAGAGTCACCAGCCAGATGGAAAATGAGATGGACACACAAAATGGGATAAAGGTAAAAGCCTTGGAGCAGCACATAGATTAATAGAAACGGGTTAAATTTTAAAAGCTAGTTAGTAACAAGCCTGAGCTATTGGCCAAGCATTTATAATTTATATTAAGTCTCCGAGTCAGATATTTGGGAAGCAGCTGCCCATTATTTGGGAGCAGGCAATTAGGACAGGGAGAAAAAGTTCACCTTATGTGGTCAGAAAAACACTGAAGATGTGCAGAAAGTCAGGTCCAGACTGAGAAAACCTCTGAACAGATATAGTATGCTTAAAAAATGATCTTAGATGCTGAAGAAAGAAAAGAAGACAGCTACCAAAAATAAATAAATAAATAATTTAAAAATAGTAAAGTCTTTAAAGAGAGAGTAAAGTAATATAAAAGGAAAAAGCCACATAACAATGGAAAATACACAAGATGTCTGGATCATATGTTTTTTTTTTTCACTTTGAATTTATGGCTTTGTTGACTTTGAATTTTTTTAAATGCTAAAGTACAAAAACAATAGCTGCTGAGAGACACTGGATTATGGGAACTACTAAATTAAACCAAACTATATATTTTTAAAATGTCTTAACTTCAGAATGGAAGTCAGAAAACATACTGCATTGCGGGGAGAGGTTTGACTTTGTTTACATAGGAAACAAAAAGCTATGATCTCTTCAAAGTTAATGAAGATCAGATTTGATCTGGGGAGACCTCCTGAAAGTCTTGGCTACAGACATGAAGAAGAAAAAAGAAAAACTACAGAACAGGTGATATATATGCTGATCCCTTGACATGGGAACAGCTCTGAGACTGGTGAGACATGATAAATATTGTTGGCTACAGAGTCCTCATGACTTATTATTGCATGCCATCTTTTCATATGGCATGGATAGAGGTTTGGTTATACAATCCAAACAGACTTGTAAAGTTAACAGATGCCTTTTACCTGCTCAAACAAAAAACAAACAAACAATTATCTTTAGCTGACTTGTGCATATTGCACATACCAAACTTGTGCTAATACAGGCATACATGTTACCTTTAAGAGTTTGTGTGTTTTCAGAAAAAAAAAAAAAAGGACTAGACACCAACGAAGACAAGTAGCCCAAGTAATCTAGCCTCTCAGAATACCTCTGTTGCAGTTTCCTCAAAATTCTTCATCCAGAATAACTTCAGAGCTACTAGCTGAGATGGTCCAGCCTCACACACTACTCCAGCCAGGACTTCAGATAAGCCCTGCACTTTCCCATCACACAGAGACTGGACAACAAATGATACAGCTAGTTCTCCCAGGTCTTGACCACTATCACAGTTTTCTCAGATAGCAGGAAGCAGTCTAGAGAACATGATGCCCACATTCCCAAGAGTTGGAGTAGATGGTTTTTGGTTGTTCAGTGGGTTGTGGATGTTTATCATCATTTTAGGGGGTTGGTTACAAATTGTTGTTGGTCATGTTCGAAGAGAAAGCTGAGTGAAGGAGATTAGATTCAAAGATCTATTTCTGAAAAGAAAAGGGAGGATATAGAAATGATAGGGTAAAAGATAGATTATTGAATCTACTTTAATCTAAAAAGCAACTATTAATCTCAAATATTTAACATTGATATCGATTTTTCTATATTGATATAATTTAAGGTTATTTTTGTTATATTGTATATATGTTCTGCTCTTGTTTAAAGTATAGTACTTATGCAGCTCATTTAACAATGTAATATAAATTTTCTAGTCCTTGAAAGTTATTATTACAAACTATTTAGGATAACTAAGAAACACAGGTCAGTAGTTAGTTATCTAACAATCAAATTTGTGACCATGTTGGATATGTTTTCAAAGTCAAACAGATATATTTTAGAGACATATTGTCTTCAAACACTTCAGAGACCTACAAAATGTGTCATTTAAGATGTTTTAATAACATAAGGCTTTTCATGACAGTGAAACATTTCTGTCATGGCGGCACCAATTTACTTCAAAAAAGGATAATGGGTATCAAAGAACCTCTATATGGAATTTGTTTTCATTGTGACAAAGTTAACCATTAGACAAGAAACTGCCCTTGCCTCCACTCTGACAGAATACTGTACAAATTGGACAAGCCAGACAGTAAGGAAGGCAACTGCCAAACCTTACCAAGACAAAGCAGGACAAGCCTTCAACATTCCTGCTTCACAGAAATGCCCCCAGTGTTGCAGAGGAACCCTGGGTGACTGCGCAGGCCGCCAACTGTCTTTGTCATTTATATAGTTTTGCAAGTTGTTTGCTCTGACCTTCCTGTTTACTCAAGTAATAATTTTATCTTTCTTGGGTCTTTGATGGAAATTGAAGACTAGATAGTTATACAGTTTTCCTTGTTAGCAAATTGAGAAAAACTTACACAAATGATGTAAAGTTTATATGGTTGAAAAACATAAAAGCTTAAGTTGTTTATCTAAGAAATGTTTTAAGGTCTAAAAAGATATTTTTAGGATGATAATACAAGTTATGATAAAATAATGGTTTAGGTATAAAGCTTTTGACTCATCAAAATAAGATAGATATTAGAGTATTGTCTTCAAATTTGCCAAATACAAATGGACTGGACATTGCTAATGTAACCCTTACTTGATAATTGTTCTTATTGTATATAGTTTTAATATGTTAGAGTTAAAACCTTCCCTTTTTATTTAGACAAAAAAGGGGAAATGTGGTGAAATATTTGTACACTGTATGAAGATGTGTTGCTGTGTTTGGTGTAATTGATGTGATTGTAATAAAGAGCTGAATGGTCAATAACCAGGCAGGAAGAGGTTAGGCAGAACTTCTGGGGATAAGAGAACTCTGGGAAGAAGAAAGACAGAGTTGCCAGGCAGATGTGGAGGAAGCAGGATGGGCAGTAGAGAGATGAGGTAATACCACGTGGCAGAATGTAGATTAATATAAATGGGTTAACTTAAATTATAAGAACTAGTGGGACAAGCCTAAGCTAATGGCCAAGCTTTCATAATTAATAAAAGTCTTGATGTCATTATTTTTGAGCTGGCAGCCCACAGAAAAGTCTGACTACAATGCAATGCTATAATAGTAGTTTTTCTCCTCAGTTTCTCCAAAACTCATGAAGTGCCAGTGGTAACTGTACAGATGGAATTTCTTCTTTTTTTTTAAAGATTGATTAAAAAATTGTTACTATATAACAGGAATTCAATAGACATACCACGAGGTTAATATTGTCCCAACTCAGACCATCTGCAGACAAATTGTATGTGGCTGTTACTACAACAAAAGTGTCATTAATGTCTGCCTGTACCACTTTCAACTCTCAGCATGTCCTAACCTGAACTAAACAGTTCCCATAAGCCTCTACCTTTAATATCTGAACTCAAATTTAGAATTCATGTCTGATCCAGAACCTATGACTGCCACCATCAATGGCTTTTTGTCATTACTAAATGTTTTCCTTTAAATATGGTTTTTTTTGGAACTCCCTTTAAAAATGTTAGCCAGATATTAGATTATTTAAAAATCTAAAATTAGCTAATTAGAAAAAAAATTGATGTGGTAACTTAGAAACTAAATCACTTTAGTTGTACATAATGAAAGCTAAAATGAAATTCTTTTGAACTGTTGTAGAGGAATATTGGAAAACAATTATATGTAAAATAGTGGATTTGTCTGTCTACAGAACAGTCCCTTAACTATTGAAAGAGGCACAAAGAAACCAATTATTTAACTAAACTTTGTTTCCTGAAGTGGCTGAAGGGGTAGAATGTCTTTGTAGTTCATACAATGGAATCTGGGGCCTCCTCTCCTATTGTCTGCTCTTCCTCTGTGGAGGAAGAGATCTTGGAATCATGAAGAAAAGGGCATTGAGTGCTTAAGAGAAATATAAACTGCTCTGTCTTCTTTTCCCACCTAACCCCCTGAAGAAAAATCCAGCTGGGCAGTGGTGGTGCACACCTTTAATCCCAGCACTCAGGAGACAGAGGCAGAGGCAGGCGGATCTTTCAAGGCCATTCTGGTCTACAAAGAGAGTTCCAGGACAGCCAGAGTTCTAATGCTGTGAAGAGACACCATGATCACGGCAACTCTTATGAAAGAAAACATTTAACTGGGGGCTCACTTACATTTTCAGAGGGTTAGTCCATTATCATCATGTCAGAGAACATGGTGGCAGGGCAGGCAGGTATGGTGCTGGAGAATTATCTGAGAGCTACATCCTGATCCACAGGCCTGGGGTGGGGTGGGGGGAGTGGAGACTGGGCCTGGTGTGGGCTTTTGAAACCTCACTACCCCTACCCCCAGTGAAAGACAAACTTCCTCTAACAAGGCCACAGCTCCTAATCCTTCTAATCCTCAATTAGTGCTACTCCCTGATGGCTAAGCTTTCAAATATAAGAGGCTATGGGGACCCTTTTTTTATAAAAAAAAAAAAAAAATTATATTTTTTTATATGAGTGCTGTCTGCATGTACAACTGCTAGAAGAGGGAATCAGATCTCATTACAGATGGTTGTGAGCCACCATGTGGTTGCTGGGAATTGAACTCAGGACCTCTGGAAGAGCAGCCAGTGCTCTTAACTGCTGAGCCACCTCTCCAGCCCTTTGGGAGCCCTTCTTATTCAAACCATCACAGACACTATCACTTCCTCATCTTTCCTGAGTTTTCTCTTTAACTAACTATTCATCGTAGTATTCTGATCAGCTAAACTCAGTCATAGTTAATATTTTTCAGTTCATGCTGACAGGTCTCTGTTTCTGCATTTATAATGTATGCAATGGGAAAACATTCTTTTTAAAAAATAAAAGTGAAACAGTTTCATCCCTAAGAACAAAAAAAAAATGGGCTAGATATTAAAGATAGTTGTTTGCATGCATGTTCATATAAAGGCAAGCAAGGGCTGGTTCTTTTGCTGACTCAGCAGATATGTCTGTTAGATCCTGTGGGAAACTCTGAAGTTTACAGATGTGTTCAATGGAGAAAATAATCCTCTTCCCCAGTTTTTTTTTTTTAAATTCTTGACTTTGTTCCATGTATGAAATATACCAAACTGTCCCAAGTAGGTTTTACCTAAATATGGAAACCTGGTAGCTAACCTTCTGCATATATTTAGAAAGAAGCAATGGCAGAATGTTATTCTGTAGTGACTTAAGCATCATGTAGAATTGTAATCTCCAAACTATAACAAGAGATCCTTAAGAGCTATGACAAACTTGCAGGAGCATGATGTACTGTTGAAAATTCTTGAAGGAATTACATGGGCACCATACAAGCTACTATGGTTGTTTGGTCCTGATTATTATTAGAAATGTTTTGTGTCTTAAAGAATGCCATAGAAAATAACCTAGGAACAAGAATCTGATCAATTCTAACCAATCCCAGTAAGTCTTAAGGATGTAGTGGGGATAAGGAAGAAGTAGGGGGGGGCAGGAGGAGGAGAAGCAGAGGAGAGATAGACAGAGAGCAAGCATACAGTCTGTTAAAACTTAATATTTAGATTTATAAGACATACTTGTAAAGCACTAACTTTGTCTGAAGAATAGCTTTGCCTTTACCCACAGTCTCCTGAGAAGCAGTCTCTCAGCCTTGGAACTGGTCCACTAGACCTATCTTTAGTCACTAGAGGGTTGGGGGGAATCTTTAGTCCATGCAACACAGTATATGCTAACAATATGATTTATGGTAAGGGCTTTGAGTCATGTGGTGCCAGCTTCAGCAGTGACAAGTTAGAAAGTGAGGTCAACTACATGGGTGATCAACTATGTCTACGTTATTGACCTCAAGTAAAACCTGAACATGGAGGCTTGGGTGAGCTTCTCGGTTGGCCATATGGTTCCCCGTATTCCATCTATGTTGTCATTTTTCATTTCTGAGAGACTGGAGCACTGTCTCTGCCAGTCCCATCGGCAGAGGTTAATCGGTGACTCTGCCTGGGCCCCTTGGCTCTATTTGTCTTTCCTACTGATGGTTTTATCTGCATTTAGCTCTTCATTGTCATCAATCATAACTGACAGCAGTCTGCTTTGCCAAGCTCTGTGTCCATCTAGAGAATTGTTTATCTCAAGGATTCTCTTAAGAACCTCCTGAATGACAATACTTTGACAAGCAGAAGTTCATTGGTCCTTGTAGGTTCTCAGTTGCTTCCTTGTCCCAAGTGGAAGGGTGTCACTGGGAAGATAGGGTACCTGCCAATTCAAGATAAAGACAGGAAAATATGAGAGAAAATGAATTACTTGGTTCTTGTCACAAGGGAAAGTTCATTTTCTCAGATGGTCTAGAAAAGAAAACTTCATTTCTGATAGAATGGCTACTTGAAGTTGGTTATCTTTTGCTTGACAAAAATCTAGCAAGAGAATGAAATGGTTCTGAAAGTTTTTAAGCCAACAGTTTAAGCCATCCAGCTAAATTTATTTTAAAATTATGCCAAATAATTTTTATCTATTTATCTCTTAACACACTGCTACCAAGTTGGAATGGGAAAAACCCAGCTGCCTTTGGGGGATGTTAAATGCCACAAGCTGTTTCTCAAATACTGTGGCATCAATATAGCTCAAAATATTTTCTCAAATACTTTTATTTAAATTTCTCAATATGCAAGTATCAAAAACAGCTTTTTATTCACACATTCATGACTCATTTACATTTTCTGGTATTTATATGACTCTGATGCAGCTCCAGTGAACTTTAGGGGAATCACTTCTGTTCCATAATCCTGTGGGATAAGTACTAAGGTAAGTAGGTTTGTCTGTAACACAGTCCTGTTTTCTATTAGTTATCCATTTGCCCTCACTCTGTAGGCCTCAGTTTTCACTTCTGCAATATGGGCAGATCCAACTGAATTGTTCTAGAGTTCATTTCATTACTAGAATTATAATTTCCTATTCAATCAACTTGCTCATATGTCTTTTGTGCATAACATCCTGATATGCATAGATAGGGCTTATACTTGGTGGCTATAACTCAATCAGACCCCTGACGAATACGATTCTTCAGGAGTAAGATACATGGACAATGAAGACATCAGACAGATTTTGTGGGTGTGAACATTGAACTACACACTCAGTCCTGTGGGAACATCAGTTCCTGGTGACTTCTGTCATGGCAAATTTTATGGAGTCGGAAAAGGTGGAAAAGGCAGCGAATGATTGAAAAATGAGGTTACAGGAGTAAGCCCACAGTGACAGCAAATAAGATGACTTAAGTGGCAGCTAGCAGCAGCTCTAGGGACTGATCATGTGTTTTGCAGAGCACACAGAAGACACAAAGTTATCTGGAGACTTTGGGCAGGATAGTTGTGTTGGCTGTTCTCTGTCCTATTTCTTCTCTTGTCTACCCTTTGTTTTTCTGGATATTGGCCCAGAGCATCACAGGTCAGAAACTTCCCTTGCCTTCTTCCTTCCAATTCATCCAAGGGAACTGACTGACAGGTGATGAAAGGACTGGGGGTGTTTACTTGTCTAGTTCCTAACCTGACAAATCCCTGTAAGCTGTCTTTGTCTTCTGACAAAGGCCAAGTAGCGCCTCTGTGTCTAAGACACCTTCCTGAGGCTCTCATAGTAGCAACAAACATTTAAGTACTGCAGTAACTGGAATGCCTTAAAGTTCCAGAAATCTGTTGTTTCGTGGTTCTGAAATTACAAGTCTAGACTCATGATGTTGGCTGAAACCCAAGTATGGATGGTTATATTTCCTTCCCTCTTCTCACCTTGGGTGATGCTAATGATCCTTGACATTCTTTGCTGTGGTAGTTTGAATAAGAATGGCCCCCATAGGCTCATATATTTGAATGCTTGGTCATCAGGGAGAGGCACTACTTGAGAGGGATTAGGAGGTGTAGCCTTGTTGGAGGAAGTATGTCACTGGGGAGCAAGCAGGCTTTGAGGTTTCAAGAGCCTAAGCCAGGCTCAGTATCTTCTTCCTGCTGCCTGCAAATCCAGATATAGAACTCTAGGCTGCTTCTTCAGCACCATCATTATCATGATGATACTAAATGAACTAAACCTCTGAAACTGTAAGCAAGCCCCAACTAAATGTTTTCCTTTATAAGAGTTTCAGTGGTCATGGTGTCTCTTCTCAGCAGTAAAACACTTACTAAGCACTTGCCTATCTCTGTCTTTGCCATCATCTGGCCATCTGTCTATCAGTGTCTCTTTTCCTCTTCTCATAAGGACTTTAGTCAGTTTGGATTAAAATCCTACCTTACTGCAGTATGGCTTTATCTGAACTAATTCCCTGGACATACATTCTACATCAAGTAAGAAAAACATTCTGAAATGCTTGGGATTTGAACTTTACAGATCCTCTGGAGTAACGTAGTTTAATTTACATCAAGAGAAAACTACCCCCCACCTTTTCCAATCCCATGGTACTAAATTATCTCTTGCTCAAAACCCACCTTTGTCCAGTCTTTGTAATTGATGCCATTAATAAGTTCTCTGAAATGCATTGTTTAGATCATCTGTATTCTCCAGAGAGTCTGACTATGTAGGTTTGATTACCCTTGGAGTGATTTGACTTTGATTTGGAAGGTCTTCTACTGTAGGATGCTTTTAACCGGAGAATCATGATCCAGCCTGGGATTAAGAAAACTAGTTATATTGGCAACTTAAAATATGTATTAGGGAATGGAGTCTCAGAGGGCCATGAAGAAAGGACCTCTTGCTACTATGCTGTTAAGTCATGATGGGATGGGAAGTGGGAAAGGATACCAATGGTCAAAGGCTTCCTGTGTCCCAGGGTATGATCCAAAGTCTTCTTCTGACCTTTTGTGTGGTGTACATTTTCCCCACTCTAATCATTGCACATACCTTAATCATCTTCTTGTTCCTCCTCAAATATCCCACCATGCTGTAGCCTTAATTCTTTCATCTGTGTCCTGAGCACTGACACTAGATCCTTACCTTGTGATGGTTAATCTTCATTGTCAGCATGACAGAATTTAGACTGTCATGAAGCTGTTTCTAAAGAAGGAAGATCAACCCTAAATATGGGTGGCACTATCCCATACTCTGGGGTTCAGAGCTGAAGAAATTAAAAGCACTTCTCTCTCTCTTTCTCTCCCCTTCTTGCTGTATTGATGGACTAGAGTCTCAAACTATGAACCAATGTAGCATCCCTCTCTTACACTGCTTTGGTCAAGTATTTTTTTCACAACAGCGAGAAACCCAACTAATAGACCTGCAGACCAACTTTCTCCATGTTGCTGTTTAAAAGACCCTTTGTCAGAGATACCTTCCTTGGCCATTCTGGATCAT